CAAAAAAATCCGAAAAAATTCCAAAAATTAAATTTAAGAAAGCTTAAAATATTCCCACGCTCTCTGAAAAAATCAGAAAAATTTTCAAAAACAAAAACAAAATAATCCAAAAATATTCCCATGCTGCCAAAAAAAATTAGAAAAATTCAAAAAATATAACAAAACTATTCTAAAAATATTTCCATGCTCAAAGAAAAAATCAGAAAAAAATCCAAAAATTAAATAAAGAAAATCCAAATAAATTCCCACACTCCTGAAAAAAAATTTTTTAAATACCAAAAATAAAATTAAAAAATTCGGAAATACTCCCACACTCATGAAAAAAAAATACAAAAAATTTCAAAAATTAAATAAAAATTCAAAAATATTCCCACGCTCTCAGAAAAAATCAGAAAAAATTCCAAAATAAAAAAATTAAGTAATCCAAAAATATTCCCACACTCATAAAAAAAAATATAAAAAAATTCCAAAAATTAAATTAAAAATTCTGAAAATATTCCCACGCTCTCGGAAAAAATAAGAAAAAATTAACTCAAACTTTATACACAACATAAGGACAAGTACATTGTATATGTATCAGAAAATATTACAAAAACTGAGAATTCTCAACTTTTTAAATTTTGGCAAAATTTAGCTAATGCCCTGTACTATAGTACAGGGACTTTGACCTAATTTTTAAGCAACTTTAAAAATTCATTAAAAATCCAAATTCAATCAGAATCAGCTAAAACTTTATACACAACATCAGGACAAGTATATGTATCAAAAAATATTATAAAATTAAGAATTACCTTTTTTCAATTTTGGAAAAATTTGGCCGACGTCCCTGTACTAAATAGTACAGGGACTTTGACCCAATTTTTGAGCAACTTAAAAAATTCGTAAAAAATCCAAATTTGATCGGAATCAACTCAAACTTTCTACACAACATAAGAACTTGTATAAGTATCAGAAAATCTTATAAAAATTGAGAATTCTCTACTTGAAATTTTTGGCAAAATTTGGCCAACGCCCCTGTACTACTTTGACCTGATTTTAGAGCAACATAAAGATTTGTATAAAATCCAAATTTGATCACAATCAGCTCAAACTTTCTACACAACATAAGAACTTTTATATGCATCACAAAATGTTATAAAAATTGAGAATTCTCTACTTGACATTTTGGCGAAAGACGCCCCTGTACTATAGTACAGGGACTTTTTGAACAATTTTTAAAATTCGTAAAAAATTCAAATTTGATCGGAATCAGCTCAAACTTTCTACACAATATAAGTACATGTATATGTATCACAAAATATTATTAAAACTAAGATATCTCTCATTTTCAATTTTGGCAAAATTTGGCCAACACGCCAGTACTAGTACAGGGACTTTTACCCGATTTTTAAACAACTTTAAAAACTCTTAAAAATGTAAGTTTGATTGGAATCAGCTCAAACTTGCT